ATATATATACACACAAAATAAAAAAAAAAGGCAAAACACGCCTAAACTGGATATAGGCTACAGCAGTCGCAGCTTAATTAAATGGCACAACAGGCAGCTCTCTTTTTTACACAGACTTTTAAGAAGGGATGGATGCAGGGTGTGAACTACGGGGGAGCTAGGGGGAGCTCGGCTCCCCTTAATAAGACATGGGCTCCCCTGAAAACTTGATTTGTGAAATTTTGGGGGGTCTCAAAAAATATTGACAATGTGTTATTTTGACGTGCAATTTCAGTTTTGTGTAATGTGATCATCGTGGATTATTATGTGTAAAATTGCAAAAATATCATTAATTCATGCATGACGGCGATTTAAACTTAATTCACTTCAATAAAGATAACTATACATACTATTCTTGTCATGAGCATCAATGCTCCCTTAGCCTGTATAATACAGCATGTGGTGTATGCAATGCCTCATCTTACCTCATAGTTTTTGTTAATAAAAGATTTGTCATTGTATCTTACTGTTTTATTGTTGTTGTGCTTTTTAATTAAAAATAACAATGAATCCATCTTTTGTTTTAGTCTTAAAAAGTGAAAGGTGTATAGATGTAAGCAAAACAGACAATTAACTTTTATTGTAAAACGTGACAAGATCGCGAAAATGAAAGCATCCCAAGCCCGGCTTATAACATAGTAAAAGAGGAACTCCCGTTCACAAAATTCAGATGACAAATAATACTACTGATGAAAACGAACTGGTTGAATGTTGACCACTTTCGTTTCCATATAACTATGAACTATGATAAAAGTTCATCAGCATGCATTGATTATGATTAATCCCACGTTGTAGCAAAAAAAAAAATGCAACCGAGAAAGTTAGTCGCAAAAGAGCGACCAGTGGGAAGAATGAGTCTGGAGCCCTGAATTGCCCAGCTCCCTCTGTCAATGATGTAGTACCCCCTCAGCACCTGTGTTCAAAATTCTCTGGTGCCGCGCCTGCTCCGTGAGAAAATGAACGTGTGGCGTGAGCGGCTGGATATGGCAAGCCAAGAGGCCAATAGCGTAAATGTGAACCTTTTGGCTTGCCATAGCTGGAACTGGACGAGATGAAGCACGATGCGGAACACCAGACGTGTCGCATCCTTGAGGTCGCAGCTAAAAGAAACAGTACGATGAAACAAAGAAAATGAAATAGTAGCATATTAATTATTGGGGTGGCCGATCAGATGTCAGCTGTGGCTCCGCCACTGGTTAGCACATCTATTTTAAGCAGGTTGTGTTGTGACTCGGAGGATTTCAGTCATTTGTCATTCGTGCTCTGTTATTGTAGATCCTTACAGGGACAGAGGACTCTGGCGAGATATATCTGCGGGTATTAAATATTTGGGACTGTCCATATGTCTCGTCTCCTAACCTTGCAGTCAACATCTGTCCCTTCCCGTCTGGAGTCATGAGTGCGCGTGCTGAGAGATCAGCTGAACACATACTGTCCTCCAGTGCTGGACAGAGTCATAACAACTGAACGCGAAAAGCCTAATTACTCAAGCCTCATAACTCCAGTGAATTTTGAATGTATTTTCCAAAAAATGTATTTGTATAATTACAAATTGCATAAAAAGCTGCACAACTAACGTAGAAAAAAATGTGTTCGTCTAAACTAGATATGATTCACTGACATAAATGGTCTGGTATGTAAAACAAAAAGTGTCAAATCATTTTTGGAACATTATGAAGAACATTTAAACAATACAAATGTAATTTTCAGATTTTTTTTTTTTTTAAATAAAAATAAAATGTAAATAAATTTAACACATTTTAGAGGTCAAGTTTGACCAGCAGTCAAGGTCTTTAAAATAAAATAAAATAAAATAAAATATTTCAACAAGTTTGACCAGCAGCCATGGCCCTTCCTTTTCTTTATTATTATTTTTTAGTTATTTTATTATTATTTCTTGTACATATGTAACACTTAAAAATAAATTAAATAAAATGGAATTAAAAAATATTTTAGAGGTCAAGTTTGACCAGCAATCGTGGCCTTTTATGTTTGAATAAAATAAAACAAAAAATAAAATACATATTTTAAAGCTTGACCAGCAGTTATGGTCTCTCCTTTTAATTGTAATGCATTTATGCTTTTTTTTTGTTCTTTTTTCCCCCACTAAAATTCACAAAAAATCACAATGTTGTAAATAAAAAGAAATGGCAAACAGGACATGTAAGTGATAAACATGGGTAATGTTTAATTCAACAAAATACTGAACATGGCAGCAGAATCTGAAATGACCCAAACTGGGCTGGGGTAACACAACATACATTTACTACATTAGCAGCAGTAAACATTAAAAAAACACATCAACAGACCTCCATCATTCCCGATCCTTCATGAGAAGCCAGCCCACACAGAGCCAGCAAAGGATCATGGGAAATCTCCTCAGGTAGTCCTAACGTACGAACACTTCTTCAGGGTTTATTTATGTGAAACAGAGAAATAAAAGATGCTTCAGCTACACCAGTTAGCAGATCTGATGACATTATTTATATACATCACAAATCAACACCTGATAGCATACAAAGTTTGGCTTCAACTAAATTTGCACAACTTGCACTGCAATACTTTAATCATATTTCAAATCCCTGATTTGATAATAGAGAAATCCAACTTTATTCAATTGATAAGATGGAGACGAGGGAAGAAGATACATGTACCACAAAAACAAACAAACATAACCTAAATCAAACACAAGCGAGGAAGGTTTGCATGTCCTCAGAGAACAGTTCATCTGAACCTCAGAAGCCATTGAACCTGTGGATGCTAGACTCAAAGCTAAACACTTTATGAAACGCACCGAGCACCTGGCAATCAAATTCAGAGCACCTTCTGTTAAAAACTAAAACACCAGAAAATCTCCGTAAATCACAGAAAAGCAGCTGGGTATTAAATTATATTGCTACCACAAAACAGAATAAAATACTTTCGATATATTTATATATAAAAAAGTCACAATATCTGAGGTATATCTAATCACTGAGCGCATGACGGTCGAGATTCAGTGATCGTGTTAGTGTTACGCTGACCAGTGAGTCTGATAAAAGCTGCCCGTTTCTGAACAACACTGGAGTCCATGAGATGATTGAAGAGTACAGCACTACGGACATTCAGTCTTTAACGCTGACGTTATTGCGGGAAACAGGCGAGCTCGGAGATATCGCCACTGTTGAGATGTAAATTCGAGAAACGTCCGGGTCATATTACATCCCAAAAATCAAAAGAAAAAATAAGAAATCTCAAATCTAATGATGCAGAAAAACAATGAAGCCTATTTTAGAACAGTTTTTTAATATTGTGCTATTTTCATGACATCTCAGCACATTTTGTTTCTATTAACGTAATGCAAAAACCCCTATTATTGTTACTGTATTACTGTCATGCAAGAAAAACTATTTAAATTGTTAAGCACAACTGTGAATATATTTTAGATGAATTTTATCAGTATTTTTTCACATTACAGTAATGATAAATTGGGGGAGATAATTGTTGCTCAACTATGACATTAATGCTTTAAGAAAAAAGACCTTTATTTTCTGCTAAATTAAATGTTGTGTAAAGAGAATGAAGCCTACTTTAGGACAGTTATGATTTTTTTTTTTTTTTTTTTAATTGTGCCATTTTCATTACATTTCAGCACTTTTTTTTTCCATTAACGTAAAAAACAAAAATTACTCCTGAATTATAACTCTTATTACTGTGATGCAACAAAAATATATTTAAATTGTTAAACACAACTGTAAATATATTTTAGGTTAACTTTTGTTGTATTTAACATAAATTGAAAAAAAAAAAAAGAATTCAGTATTTTTCGCTTACAGTAATGATAATTTGGAGGAGATAACTGACTATGACATTAATACTTTAAGAGCCAAAAAAACAAACAAAAAAGTAATTAAAAAAATCTTATTACTTTGATGCAAGAAAAAATATATTTAAATTGTTAAAACAATTGTAAATATTTTAGGTTAGTTCTTTTTATTGTATCTAACATTAATTAAAAAATATATTTTTTCCCCCTTTTTTGCATTACGGTAATGATAATTTGAGGAAGAAAACTGTTGCTTAATTATGACATTTATGACAAGAATTTTATTCTCTGCTAAACTAAACGTTTTATATAGAAAATGAAACCTATTTTAGGACCATTATGATGTCACAATATAAAACATCATTTTGTTGACAATTAAGCCCATGAAACAAAAACAAAAGTATTTTCTGCTAAATTAAATTATGCATAAAGAGAATAAAGACAACTTAGGACCATTATGATTTTTATATATATATATATATATTTATATTTATATTTA